TTTATGGACAGAAAATTTAAACCAATAAAAAAGGAAAGAGGAGGAAGGGGGGGAGCATGGGGAGATGGTGGGAAGGGTGAGAAGTATTGCTATGTTTCTAAATCTGTAATACGAAATCCATGAAATTTGTTTACTATTTTAAAAAAGAAGTCCATAGAAGAAGATAAAATGATGAAATAGACCAGGCTTCGTTGTGGCATAGTGGACTAAGCTGTCATTTATATTGCCAATAGCCCATTTCAGAGTGCAAGCTCTAGTTCTGTCTGACGTGTTTCCAATCAAGCTCCTTGCTAATGGGGGACAAAAGAAGGTGACCCAAATACTTGGACCACTAACAACCACACAGAAGGCCCAGATGGATTTCCAGGCTCCTGGAATTGGTCTGGCTCAGTCATTGCATCCAGTTGTGTGCTGAACCACTTAATGAAATCTCTCTCTCTCTCTCTCTCTCCCTTTCTCTCTCTCTCTCTCTCTCTCTCTCTCTGTGTGTGTGTGTACCCCTTTATGTCACTGCATTTCAAATAATTTTGGAAAAAAAAGATGGGCCTTGTGCTAGAGATGGCATAAAATGAGTTAATGTTGATATACATAGGTAAAAATTCAAAGACAAATTGAAAATTAAAAAATCATTCCCATACAAACTTATATATAATATTACAATTTTTTGAATAGAAATTTGTAACTGCATAGAATTTATCCTACTTTCAAGCCAAGGATGTGTTTTGCAAAATAGTTCTAAAAAGAGTTCTAAAATAATTCTTAAAGTTCTAAAATGAAATTTGTCAATTTAATTTACAAATAAATACATATAAATGGTAAGAACATAAATCCAAAATAATTCATCCTACTTAATTTTAAAGCAAAGATGTAATAGTATCAATATAAACTACTGAAAATTTTAAAACAAATTTACAGTTTTGTTCCTCTTCAAATATACATCTTCCACAGGATGAAAGAGTTCATTAACCAAGGTCTTGAGAAAATATGTATGTGAATGTTATTGTAGGGCTAAGGGATAGATAGGGCATCCCAGTGGCAGGCTTCCTCTTTCTTCCATGGGTGGTGAACACCCCTTCTTTCTCCTGATTTCAAATCCCTAGCCTGTTTGCATGCATATCTTAATGTGTCCAATTAGATTTTGTACTGTGTTCAGGAAGCACTCATGGATACCTTAACTACTACCACAACCCTCTTCAGTATCTGTGGTCTCAGACCAATCCTCTCAAGCCACAAAGTCCATGCTCATAACATCATCCTAAGGTAATGAATCAAAAGGAAACTTGGCTGGCACCACGGCTCACTAGGCTAATCCTCTGCCTTGCAGTGCCGGCACACCAGGTTCTAGTCCCAGTTGGGGCGCTGGATTCTGTCCCGGTTGCCCCTCTTCCAGGCCAGCTCTCTGCTGTGGCCAGGGAGTGCAGTGGAGGATGGCCCAAGTACTTGGGCCCTGCACCCCATGGGAGACCAGGAGAAGCACCTGGCTCCTGCCTTCGGATCAGCACGGTGCGCTGGCCACAGCACGCCGGCCACGGCGGCCATTGGAGGGTGAACCAACAGCAAAAAGGAAGACCTTTCTCTCTGTCTCTCTCTCTCTCACTGTCCACTCTGCCTGTCAAAAAAATAAAAGGAAATTTAAAACCCCATTTAATATCCAGGGCTCCACTTTCTCAACAAACACCCAGCTTTGGGGCCTCTCTCTGTACTGTTTGTCTCCAGTGAGTCAGAGCTTTGTTCCTCTTTGTCTCTCACTCAGAAATATTTGGCATTGAATCTTTAACTCTTTCTTTATACTTTTTTTATACTGAAAGAAATCAAGAACCAGGTAATTCTTTCCTGACACAACATTTTGTCGCTGAAACCAAGGAAACTTTCTTCCTGTCCCCCATCTGGAGTCAGTCTCAGATCCATGCTCTTAGCCATAAATGGCACTGAGAGAACAAAGGACCACTGATAGGTTTCCTCCAATCTCTTGGGGTCAGGACCTCCCCTCCACAAGGCTATCTGTGATAGAATGCTTATCAGTGAGGTGGGGGAAGTAGAATTGGGTAGAAGTAGAGAGCAATGATGACTCCTGTATACTTACATGGGCATTGTACAACTAAGTCTCCAAAACAGGTGGGGATCATCTCAAAGTAGGGGTTAGAGCCATACATTCTTCCTCTTTTCAATAGATCTGGGAGCATTTAGCCAGACCAAGAAAAAGGATGAGTGATTAGGGATGCCCATTGTCACGCATTCACATGTTCTCTCTTCACAGATGGGAACCACTCAATCCAAGTCTCCCTGCAGCTCTCCATTGGAGTCCCTTCTTCAAGCACCCCCACTACAGTCAAGGCTGTATGCTTTGACTCATGGATCTACAATTCACTTACTAATCCATGAACAGCCACAGCGGATTCTCAGACCAATACCAACAATAGTGCCATATTTCCAGAATCCACAATGGAGCATCCCCAGACACTTGAACAAACAGAGAACCTCAGACACCTCTTCAAATAATTTCCAAGTAAGTAGATGCCATCTACTAATCCTAATAGAAAAATTTCTTCCATCCTTGGGCTAATTTTCTTTATAGGATGGCTGCTATTACTGGTTCTGGTATTAACTTGCTTCTAACAGTTTCCTTTAAGATGTCACTTCTAATCTCCCTATCCCTGTTCCTTTCAGCTAAAATCAATACAGGACTCCAACATGTTGTTCCTTTGCTACAAAGGGTGAGCACCATAGGAAATCATTCTAAGTTAACTATTGATTATGCCCACACAACAAAGTAGATTACCTTGCTGATTCCCAATTCAGGGCTCTGGCCATAATGACTAGTGAAGACAGCCAGTGGAGTATATGACAAAGCACCAATTCGTGCCAACTAAAAGTGATAATCCCTCCTCAGGACGGCATCTGGTTATACAATCCACCAGCAGAGATTCACATCCCTCTGGGCAATTAACTACTTTCATGCTTACACTGACTTCTGATTCTCTCATTTCCACAGCATGGGCCCCTGGTTGGGAATCCTTAATCTGACTTACTGTAATCAATCACTTGAGTTCCAGTGGATCCCAGGTATTACAACCCAGGACCCCAAATGATTCCAAAGAACAATGAAACAACTTAAGAGGACACAACCAACTTCTCCTTTATCAGGGGAAATGAGGCATACAATATCACCAAAAAATCTCATGTCCTCCACCTAAATGAGTTTTCTGATCCATCCAATGTCACCACCTGGGGTTAACTTTCCCAATGGATGAGTCTGGTCATTAATACCACCAACAGTCCCATTTATGTTTCCCCAAGTTTGCCTTTTTACTTTGATGATCTGAAACTGGCTTGTGAAGCTCCTCACACTCAGGGAAACTCCCCCGACTTGCCTTGAAGATTTTTTTCTCAAATAAACACCTAGTCTTTGGCAACCAAACTCATCCTATCTCACTTCTGAATCTAGTCATAGCTGCGAAGTATTACACCAAATATTTCCATATCTCAATATACAGGCATCACCTTACTGAGTACCATGCCCTATTTTCTCTGTGGAACCTGCTTATATCTCACCCTGCCATCCTTGTGGAAGGGACAATGTGAGGTGGCCTCTGCTACTCCAGAGGTCCTTTTCTTTTATAAATCAAACTGCCCAACTTTTGGGCCATTTTCCAACTTGGAGTGTTTCCTCATTTTCTCACTAACCAGAGGTTTAAAAGGTCTGTGAAAATCCCCTCTTATGTGCACCTGTCATCTGGTGGATTTGGAATTTTGGTGATGGACAACCCAGCCTTGGAATGAGTGGGGCTCAAATAGGAGATGCTTCAAGGATATTTCGGCTGATATTTTTCCCTAGAATTCCAGGCATCCTAGGAGGTTATGGTCAAGGAAATCAAGGCACCACAAAAAAGTCTCAACTCACTGGTAAAGGTAGTTTTGTAAAATTGATGTGCCCTCAATACCATAAGCTAAGGCAGGTGGGGTACCTTTGCCTTGTTAAATCAAACTTGTTGCTTTTGGATAGATGACTCTCAAAAGCTTAAAGCCGAAAAATGCTTAAAGCTCATTCAGATGTATAATTATTTGAAAAAAAATCTCAATCAATACACTTGGTTGAGGACTCTGAGCCTGTAAAAGGTTAATTTGGAATCTCATGGGACCTTTTATCCCTTTTAAGATTCTCATTCTCCTGGTTCAGGTATCCTTAAAGAACTCATTGTCTTTATCTCCCACAAAATCAATGACATCAAGCTAAACATGGTTTTGCAAATACAACATTCCATGAATCTCTCCAAGTTCTCTTGAGGCCCAATTAATGGATGCTATGAATCTGGGCCCACAGTCTATTGTCATTACTGAACTTAAGCAGGAAATAGGGCAATCATTGCCCCAAAATTTCCAGCATGAATTGGCTGATGGTCTCAGAGAGGGTAATGTAGGGCTAGGGAACCCATAAAGTAAGGATTGATGTTGGGGGGCCCAAGTGGCCAACTTCCTGCTTATTCCAAATATCAAAAACTTCTCCTCTTTCTTATTTTGAAGATCTGGCTTGTTTGAATGCATGCCCTAGATTAACAGAATGGTGTAATATAATCTGTCCAAGCATTCCAATCAGTAATAGGGATAGAGTTAGTACATAATACAAAAACAGAATGGGTAATATTGAATTCAGTGATGGAAGAATTACATTGTTTTACTGCAGTTCGGACACTTTGTCACCACAATTCTTCATTTCACATAGTAATATTAACTTTACAACAGGTAACATTTACTTCAAATGAAACATTCAAATGCAGGGTTGGGGGGTGTCCAGTGTACACTGATCTATATTTTCCACTCCCAGTGTTCTTCATCCACAACACCCTCTTCTCTGAGCCTCTTTTATTTCTTCTTGTAGAAAAGTTACAGCACCCTGAAGTAGTGTTTTATCCTTTTGCTGTGCCATTGTCTCCTTAATAAGAGACCATAGAGAAAATGTAGTTACCGGCAGAGATTCTGGCCTGCTTTTTCTAAATGTGCATTTAAATCTTTCCGAGCAAATCCCAGTGTTGTTCATCCACGACTCCTTCTTCTGCAAACCAAGGACTGACTTTTCCTATAGCATCAATGAACTGTTCTATGGCTCGCTTTTTAAACCCTATTCCTTGCGTCTGTAATAGAGTCTTTACAGCCTTTATCATGGCTTGCTTACCTTATGCTTGTCCCATAATTGCCCCTTTCACACCTTATCTGGAGGCAAGAAGTATTGGGTACTTACGGTCTTCCTCTCATTATTCAGTTATCACCGCAGCCTTTATGGTGGGGTTCCTCACTTTATCCCTTGTATTCAGGTCCCTGTTCAGGCGCCACTTGTGTGGGCCTGCTGCACCAGTCAAACAGAACCTGAAGGAGGGAGCAGGAAAGAGGGACAAGAGGCACAGAGAATGGAGCCAAGACAACAAGGGTGATCAAGGCTCATTTATTCTAAAGTCTCAGCGGTATTTATACATATCCAGCTGCAGAACAAAGAAGCACAAAAGATAACAACATATGTAAGCAACTTACCGGGGCCTCCGGTAGCACAGATAATTTTAACAGAGCGTTCTTGATTATCATCCTCCTTCAGGATGGGAGTATGTGAGTTTCTTATCCTAGGAATTCCACAAGCCAAGATTGGCCTTGATTTGTCCAAAGGCTGCCTACACCTATGAACTTGGGACATCTTCTGCTTCTTTCACAGGCACATTATTAGGGACTTGAATTGCAAAAGGCGCATCCAGGACACAAACCAGCACTCACATAGGATGCTGGCATTGCAGGCTGCATCCCAACCTGCTGTACTAAAACACCAGACCAGCAACTTAATTTAATGCAACAGAGAGGAGCTAGCTGAAAGCTTAGTGCAAGGATCCCAAACCTGAATTGCAATACTCCTATGACCAATACTGTAATAATTGTTAATTGTTTTTAAATAATTTTAAAATCATTCATGGACTAAGGAGGACTATACTCTCATCAAAATAACATTATAGGAAACATTCCCTAAATTTATTTGAGTTTCTCAAATTAACAAAAGGATCATGGACCATATCATATTCACAGGGAGCTGAATCATCAGCATGCTGCAGCTGTAACTCAAATTAACACTCTGATATGGGATGCTAACCTCAGAAGGAACAGGGTAACTTGCTACACTGCAATGTCTACACCTAAAATATCATTTAGTGAAATTTTATAAACATCTGAATTTGACAATCAATACCCTGTTCTCTTTGCATGGATTCAAGGTTTGTAATAATACTGCATACTTAAACTTCATAGCACAGAGTGCTTTGATGTAATATAGTGAAGTATGTTGATATCAGAATTTCTAATCAGTCCTGTTAATCAGCACTCTGAGTTCTACTACATTGTTATTTGTTTCCAGGCAGTATAATTCTTCAGATTTCATTTTACTATTTGGCCATGGTCTACAGGTGGCTATGCCTTTAATGTCAGGTTGAAACTCAATACCCAATGTGACAATATTTAAAAGGCTGTGTCTTTATGGGGTGATTAGGTCCAACCTCTGATGTTATGAAAGCTGTGCTGGAAAATTCTGGCTCTTTCCAACATAGGAGGACACATAAAGACTTTTTGTAGGCTGAAAATGAGCTATCACATGACAGAATGGGCTGGTGCCTTAATCCTGGATTTGACAAGCTCTAGAATTGAGTTACAGCTTTCTGTTTGAATTGCCCACTCTAAGGCATCTTCATCCTGAAGGTATTATCTATAAAACATAGTTCATAAATGTCTATAAGGAGATAAAGTACGCTAATATCTGTGAATCCATAAAGAACATCACAATTTCTCTTGATGTATTCTAAGGAAATTTACATTTTCAAGTATCAAATATCATTTCCTTAAATTCAGCTTCACTTACAAATTGATTGTTTTCCATTTTTTTGTTTGCTTTTTGGGGTTTTTCTATATTGGTTTTTGAATCATACTGTCAATATACACATACGTGAAATCCTGGGTAGTTTCAACTGAAGTTTTGGATACATAAATTAGTTCACTTGGAGCAAAATTAGCATTTTAGCAATATTGAGCTTTCTCATACATAAATTGGTATCTGCAACTCATTGTACCTTCTTTGCTGTATTTTGCCAGTGTTTTCAGCATATATAGAGGAAATTTTTTGCTACTGGTAATTGCACTGGATTGGCTTTAAAATCAATTCAATGATAGTAAATAAAATATAATTGCATTTATTGCATTTGAATATTAATCTTGTAACTAGCTATGTTTTTTAAATAAATGTATTTGTTTTACTTGTAAGGGTAGAGTCATAAAGAAAAGACACAGAAAGAAAGAGATCTTCCATCTGCTGTTTTAGTTCTCGTATGGCCCACTATCAGGGCCTGGCCAGGCTGAGGCAAGGGGCCTGGAACTCCTTGTTGATCTCCTACACAGGTGACAAGAGCCCAAATACTTAGGCCAACTTCCACACTTCCACTGTTTTCTCAGGCACATAGCAGGGAACTGGATCAGCAATGAATCATCTGGGATTCCAACCAGTGCTCCAGTGACAGTGTTTTAGGCGGTGGTTTAAAGCCCTGCTCACTGATGCCAAACCTTGGCCATTTTAAAGTGTTCATTTTTTCTGTGTCATCTTTTTGTATATTCTTAGGGTTTTCTATAAAAACAATTTGTGAGTATACATTATTTCCGCAAATATTTCTTATTCCCTTTTGTCTTCTCTTTCTGCCTTTTAAATTATATGTATTTTTTTAGCATTTAATTTTGTATCTAGTTTCTGCTACGCTGTTTTTGTTCATTTTTTTCTCAGAAATTACTTTTTGCCATTCAGGTTATGTAACTTCAGTCTAACCTAATACTTTCAGGTTCAAGTCTACTGATCAGTCTGTGAAGGGCATTTTTCATCTAGCTTTTCTGTTTAATTCTATGTGTCTGCTGAAACGACCCAGCAGATTATGCATATTATTCATGTTTTGTGAAGCAGATTTTCAGTATATCAATTACAATTATTTTAAATGTTATGTCTCATGCTGTTTCCTAGGCTGTTCCTGTCCTTGGTTGCTGTCTTGACTGTTTTTGTTTATGTTTTTGCATGTCTTATAATTTTAGTGTGGAAAGCAAATCAGTAGAGATTGAGATAAAGCATTCTGCTACTAGAATTGGTATTCTCCAAAGTAAAGTTAGTTTTTTAATTTAATTTTCCTATGGCTACCTTCAAAACCTAAAACTTTTGAATTCTTATATCATTACTTTGTGGTAAGAAGTGTGAACTGTTTTCCAGAGAAGCTATCTTCTGATGTCCATTCAACCTTGGATATGTCTTCTCTTTTGAACTCTGCCTTAGCATGCTTCTCTACATTCACTTTCCTCTACTGGGAATATACTGGTGGTGTTTTTTAGTTTATTATGGTTTACCTGGTGGTTTGGTTTAGGGGATAAAGTTTTTTACTGTTGTTCTGAGTAACTTTGTCTTAAGCTGACAGTGAGTCCAGGGTCATGTGCCTGAAGCCTGCTCAGTGATCCCTACTCTGTACCTGTATAAGGCTCAGAAGCCGAATTCTGCCTGTTCCTCTCCACCTCTCCACTTGCAATGTTGTTTTGTTTTCTATGATGTTTTCCAAGAAATAATTGGATTTTGCCATTTTGCTCAAAAATTTAGGTTCTGTTTTTCTTCCCCAAGTGTTTTTTTTTTTTCTCACCGAATACAAAGACCTTATTAAGAAGGCTTTGAAGGCCAGCGCCCAGCTCACTAATCCTCCGCCAGCAGCGCCGGCACACCGGATTCTAGTCCCGGTCGGGGCACCGGATTCTGTCCCGGTTGCCCCTCTTCCAGGCCAGCTCTCTTCTGTGGCCAGGGAGTGCAGTGGAGGATGGCCCAAGTCCTTGGGCCCTGCACCCCATGGGAGACCAGGAGAAGTACCTGGCTCCTGCCTTCGGATCAGCGCGGTGGGCTGGCTGCACCGCACAGCGGCCATTGGAGGGTGAACCAACGGCAAAAGGAAGACCTTTCTCTCTGACTCTCTCTCTCTCACTGTCCACTCTGTCAAAAAAAAAAAAAAAAGGCTTTGAAGTCAAAAAATAAAACTCTGAATACAATTTTAACCCTTAAATCCGCTCAGCAAATGTATAATCAGTAATTTAGCTGTGTAAGATTAAACGACCATTGTTTAAAATAAATATATTTTATTTATTTCCCTATAAATTTCCTACATATACACAAGAGGTATAAAGAAAAAAACAAAAACATTTCAATTTTTTTAAAAAAATGACAACAGAAACCACAGCGGGAAAGGGAGCGTTAATTAAAAAAAATGTCAGAAACCCCGGGTGGGTGGGGCGCCCTCGCCCCCGCCTGGCAGCTGCGCGCCCCACAGCGCCCCCGGCGGGGGGGGGGGCGGAATAAAAAGTGCACGTGGGGGGTTTCCTGCAGTTTACTGTCATGGGCTCTCAGCTCTGCTGCTCCGAGCTCCCGCTAGATTTCCGGGCGGGGCAAGCCTTGGTCCTGTTAAAGCTCCCACCGTGGGGGTCG